TTGACCTCGCAGGGCTGCATCGGATCCTTGCTGGTCGTCCGGCCCAAACGAAACCGAAAAAAAGACGACGGCCTCGCTTCACTTTCGGTCAGGATATCGACCAAGATGCTTCGGATGGTACTCGGTGCATTTGTCGTGGAAGAACGAATTATCTACTAGGATATCCCGCTGTGGTCTGTGAGATCTGCAACAGACAGTACCACACTGGCTGTGTCTTTTACGCCCTGGACAAAATTGAACCCGGTGTCACTCCTCGCTTCACTTGCCCCATCTGTTGCCTGCGTAAAGGAAAACTTTACCAATATTCTGACGTCAGGGTGATACCTTCAGGTAAGCACATACGCCCTAGTTCTACGAGAGTCAACTGACGAAGAACCATAGCCGAACTCCTTCAAGAAAAGCCACCAATCGACGCCTATGTCAATACGAAGGAGATGCTCGACACGTTCAACAGAGGCGTCATCCTCAAGAAGATGCCGCCCCCTCACAATCAAACACTATTTGTAGAGCTTGTTCAGGTTCAACCAGGCTGCGATGGCACCACCTCAACTTTGAACAACGGTCCCATCACTGCCCCGCTGCATCGCCAACAGATGATCAATCATGTCGTTCCCCCTCCCCGACCGATGGCTAATGGATCGAGCACCCCATTATTTTCAACATCACATCACAACCAAGCGCAATCGATCTCCGCGATCCAACCCTCGATGTCAGGGATGAGTACCTTCAGCGCATCGCCCACGGCACCAAACATCTATGCAACACTGCCGCCTCCGCCATGGTCGCGGTGGGGCACGATGTCGACGCCAGCGATGCCACCTTCGACGCAGCGTCGCGGAGGCCATCATGGTTCCGAGAGTACGCGGGGGACACCACAACCGCCTGGGCAGACCTCGCGGAAGCGCAAACATGTCGACGAGAGCCTTCCCCCAACTCAGCAGCAGCATCGACCACAGCACATTCACCAACAGCCATCCGATGAGGACGTGCGGCCTAACAACTCGTCGTTTCCTCTGAAACGACACGCTGGGCCGTCGTTGACGCCGACGCCTCTGTCGCCGCCGCGGCCGATACAGACGCTATCGCCCTCGCTCGCTATGATCGTTTCGCCGACGAACCAGGCGGTGCACACGTCCGCGAGCGTCAATGCTAATAACACGAACCAGCTACCGCCGCTGCGAAATGGGACGAGCGGATCACCCATCCTGCCGCCTGTGAAGTCGCTGATGGGCGGCGAGCCACCGCGTGCAGGTCCTCTATGATCCATGCCTTTTTTTCTTGGATTAAAAGTGTAGTTGTTTGTGTTTTTTGATTCATTCTGATTACATTGCTGCTGCTCTTGCTTAGTATGCTTCGCTTTTTTGGGTTTTGTTGTCCTAATTCCTACCTATTATACTCTATGATGTCATTTGCAATACTCTTTGAACCCCGCTCCTCTCCTCCTTGTTTTTCAAAGTATCAGTTTCATTCTTACTCCCTTTCTCTCATTTTATCTAAACATGTAGCAGGATCGTCTAAAGCTTCTTTTTGTGTTATTAGAGATTACATACAACAGGTATATATGCCGGATGTCATTGAATGACAGCGTATGAATATGCTTTCCTTCGTGCACGTTTATCTATGAGTTTTCCTCCTTGATTGATCTAGTTGTATGTGTGATGAAAGGACGTGCGTAATAGTGTACTGCATATGCAAAAATGTAGGTAGCTACGGATGAGAAGCGCATTCGCCGTGTCCAGGAAGGGAGGAGTAGCGACGAAGGCTGATGCGGCCGAACGAAAAGTAGAACAGGGAAATAGGTAAGTACAAACGAAAAGGAAAGATGTAGGCCAAACATATGATGAGCGATGAGATAACGTCCATGGACAGCTAAAGAAAAACAGCATAAAACCAATAATGAAAAATTGAAAAAAAATGAGGCAGGAAAGACCTTGTGATAGAAAAACCGCCCAAGACACAACGAACAAACAAAAAGAGCAAAATTCCCGGCCCTCTATGATTACTTGCGGACCATAAATCGGTACGTCGAGTACCCACCGACGACCGCAAACGCCGCCAGACATGCGATAATTGAGATGAACCACGCGTATCCCTGTCGGCAGCATCAGTCAACCACGCCGTATACGATACGAAGATAAAAAGCTACGTACGGGGACGTCTTGGCCAGGAACATGCACGTTCATACCCCACAAACCTATCGGGCGGAACATGAGCGAGTTAGTTTCTCATTGTTAGACGCGTGTGTGTGTGATGAAAGTGCATGAAATGAAATGGAAGGAAGGAAAGAAAGAAAACGGAATGCACGCAGCATAAACACATTGCGTGCGGCCAATAGACCAGCGAGAAATCGTCGAAACACAAATAGCAAAGATAGAAAACAGGAAGCGCGAAACACACGCAACACAAAAAAGGTTAAAATGTGAAGTCCCAGATGTGAAGGGAAATTGATTGAAAGACCGCAACAAACGGCAAAAAATGCCCTCAAACACATGAGCACCCAAACCAGCAAACAACAAGACGGACAAAAGAAAGAAAAAGGGCAAAATAAATAAACACCCACCCGTGACCAAATTCATGGGAATCAACACCGTTCCGAGCGCCGTCAACTTGGAAAGCACATCGTTGATCTGATTATTCGCGTCCGTCATCTCGATTGAGATCTGCGCGAGGTAGTTTGAGTGCGAGCGCGACAGGATCTTTTCGTAATGGTTCAAGTTCTGGGTCATCGTAATCAAATGGTCCTGTTGATTATTTAAAGAAAAGTTTAGTGAGGAAGCAGCGAATAAGAGGATGAAAATTGATTACCTGAATATCTGAAAGATAAAGACCCTAAAATCGTTTAAAAAAATTGAGATTGGGATAAGACGATGCAAAAAAAAAAGTACACACAATATCCGACGTTGGCGCCACCCTCCAATTCTCATTACACCTCTTCGCCAGCCCCTTGACCACATCCGCCTTATTCCCCATCAACCTCAACAACCCCATCACCTTCTTCCGACACGTCCCAATGCGCCTCAACATATCACTCTGCTCCGCCTCCTTCAGAATCAACACCAGCTCATCAATACTATCGACCTCATACTCAATGCCCTGGATGAGCGGCCCGAAGGCATCCGTGATATCGTCGATGAGGGCGTAGGAGATCCAGTCCGAGGTGACGGAGATATAGTCCTTGAGCTGCTTGATGCGGCGGCGCACGTTCTGCGGGTGAGGGGTGGGCCGGAAGTGGAAGGAGAGGATGCCCTCGCGGAAGACGATGATGTACATGTTCAACGGCTCGAGGTGTGTGGGCGAGTATGGGTCCTGATCGAAGGAGCGGAAGCAGACGAGGTAGTAGTTGCGGAAGAGTTCGATTTTTTCGCGCGTCTCTTCCATGAGGATATCTTCGGTCGTCAGTGGATGGATGGAGAATACCTGGACAATATATGAGAATTTACTTGTGCACCAGGACGAGCGCGACTGACCTTGCTGAGCATCTTCATCTCTTCGTCCGTCGGGTTCTGCACGTCCAGCCACCACGTATTCCCATCGCCGTCGGTGTCCAACGCCACGCCCGCGCCAACCATACCGCCGTTATTTCCCTTCTCCGGGCCGCCGCTCAGCCCAACGCGCCTATTCAACATCGCGCTGTTCCGCCCATTCAACCCACCAGCCTCCGCCCCGTTCATCCTCCCAGCGCCGGGATACAGGGCCCTGGCCGCCTCCTGATACGGAGGCGACGCTTTCCCCGGCGCCGATGCATCGCCCGCGATCGTCGTCCCGTCCTGACTATCAGACGGCGGCTGGATCCCCGAGAAGAGCTGGGCAAACGTCTGCCCCTCCGCTGGGAGCTCCGCGAGACTGCGGGCATGGATAGTCGCTGAGAGGGCGTTGGAGTAGAACGAGAAACGGTACGGGCGCGCGTGGCCGGTGTTGAGGATGCCGCCGGGGACAGGGAGGCCCGCGCCGGCGGGGTCGTAGGAGGGCCCTGAGGCCATGGTAGAAGGGTGGCCGAGGACCTGGCCCAGGCGTGTGGAGAAGGAGGAGGGGGGATCGGCGGAGGTGGATTCGAAGAGCGCCATCTTGCCGCCGATGCCCTTGCGGTGGGAGCGCGGATGGGCGTTGCTCTGGCTGAGCTTGCGATGGCGCAGCGGGCGCGCGGACGCCTGGTCGTCCTCAGGGGCGTCTGCCGGGGGTTGCGGGCCGGCGTCGCCTGGTGCGACAGGAAGATGGGAGGAGGATGCGATGGCGTTGGCATTGGAGCTGTCGACCTCGGGCGAGTGGGCGGGAGGCGGGATCTGCGGCTCGACGACGCTGAGCTTGGGGCGCCGGGGAAGGCCAACGAGAGAGAAGCGGGCGTTATTGGGAGAGTTGAGACCGAGCTTGACTTTTTCCTGGGCTGCAAACTCCTCCATGCCGGTGAAATCAAACGCAGACTGGGAGACATTGGCCTGGTATGTGGGCAGCCCGAGATTGGAGGCCTGGGCGTCTTCGCCGAGGGTGAGCGGGGAGATGTGGTGGTGGCTGAGGAGGGAGGGGTCGGAGCGGCTGATGCGGCGGAGGGAGGGCTGGATGGGGGCGTCGGGGTCGTCGTGGTCGTCGGCGCCAAAGTTGATGTCGGCGGCGGGGTCGTCGAGGAGGGAAAAGTCCTGCTGGGGCGGGGCAAAGGCCTCGTCGTCGTCGGGGGACATGAGCTGCGGAGACGAGAAGGCGGCGATGGGGGATGAGTGAAGCGTGTCCCGGCGGGCAAGGGAGAGCTGGAGGGCCATGTCCACGTCCATCGTCCGCTGACGCTCGCGCACCTGCGGGTCATTGAGGTCAAACGACCGGCTCAGCGCCGGCGAGTGCCGCAGCCGCGCAAGGTCGCTCTGCTCGCTGGGCGACACACTCCGTCGCGGCGGGCTGTCAATCGACATCGCAGATCAAGTACAACCTCACTTTCTCTTGCCGCTCCACCTTCGTCCATCTTTCATTTTCTCAGGGCCCCTCACAATGCCTACCTGCTAGCATCTTCCACAGCCCCCGTTGTCTAATGGTTATGACGTCAGACTTCTATAACAGCAGGTTATATCTGGAGGTTGCGGGTTCGAATCCCGCCGGGGGTTTCTTATTTATTTTTGCTCCGAATTCGTCGTTCGGACCTTGATTAATTTCACAATTCTTCACATTATTACTCGAAACGCAATATGTCTGTTTCCGAAATCACCAGGCGTCGTTTCAGTAGAGTGCAGTTCAACCTTCAAAAGTTTCATGGAATATTCAATCATCAAGCTAAACACAAATTGAATACCCTTACTGAAGAAGCTTTCTCCACAGTCCCAGCCTCGCTAGGGTTAACGCCCAATAACTCGAGGAGGACCACAACATTGTATTCGCCCCGAATGATTACAAAGGACTACCACGGGTGCGCCGCGCGCAAGCTTGGGCGTCTATATCTCGTCTTGGCGCAGTCTATTTTTAAAATTCACCTCCTATTAATAACGACGATACAATCCTCAGTTCGTACGCGGCGAGTCCGAACAGACCACATCAATATGACAGAAAAACAAATTTGATTTTCCATCTCCCAAACTCAAAAGGTAATAGTACGCAGTGTCATTTCACAAGCCATTGTATTTATCCGTCTCATTTCCTGATTCTTCGACATCCCACTCCGACGACCCGTGTCAATGAGCGTCCTCAGCTTAGAGGTTGAGGTTGATGGGGGTGCAGCCCAAAGCGACGACTCCATCTAAAGTACGCAAAAGGGAACCGGTCAGATATAAGCTCTTGAGCATAATAGCACAGCAGCACTAACTGAAAGAGTTGTTGGTGCAGCAAACCGGCTGCTCAGAGCTACGCGAAGAGAAAAACAAAGAAATCATGAGCTCAAAAAAGGGTTAATAAGAACAGCAGAGTACGCACCAGGAAGTCCCACTCGCGCCAATGACGGTGATGGGGGAGCATGTCACCCCAACGAGACCCGTGACTGAGCCGACGACGACGCCCAAGAGACCGAGGAGCGCCGCAGTGGACGGGGTGCTCGCGGTCGAGGTGCTGGCGCAGCACTGCAGGCTGCCCGTGTTGCACTGGTTCGTCGGCGGCGTCTCAGTAGGCGTGGCGGCAGCAAGGGTAGCGAGGGCCAAAGTGGCGATGGCGGAGAGGCTGGTGAATTGCATAGTTGAGAATGGAGCTATTTGCTTGGGTTGGTACTTGAACAGATGCTTGTTCGAGTGAGGAATAATCGTAGTTGTTAGTAGTAGCTTTTATACGCTTTCAGAGACCCTTTTGGTGCATTTTTGAGTGTGCGTCTTTCGAGACGATGACGAGCGCTGGGGCATCAACGCTATGATGAGCATTCCGAACCACACATAGGCATACGAATTTAACACAAGAAGCCTGTAGAAGTGGAGCTATATAGAATCTGCTTCTCCGTGTCTCTATCCCTGCACGTTACATGCACATTTTTCGTCCAAGGTATGCGCACCGAAAATCACCTGTGCTGCATTATACGTCACACACAAGCATACAACTTTCATCGCAAGAAGCGCTGTCGAAGTGGGGCCAAAAGATCTCCCAATACCACTTGCGTGCAATTCATCTCCGCGATGAGGTACCTCCGTGTATTACTGCAACGTGACCCAACTACCAGAGACGCTCGGAGACAAACCACTTCCGCTTATGACGATGAAGAAGATATTCATAGAATTTGAAGTCAACGTGCGCGAGAATCGATTTGTGAGCGATCCAATAAGATCGAACTACCATTTTGAAAATGAGCATCGAAATACGCAAATAGACTTTTCTCGTACTTACAGGCTTGCTTTCTCCGCAATTTCACTTGAGTGTTGCGGCACGCTCTGCATAACACCTCGTGTCATGGAGCCGCCGGATTCTTCCCACTGTTGAAAGCATCATTGCCTGTGAGTGACTTACGAATTAATACTGTCCCTTCCTTATGATGAGCGACATCTGTCTGGTGACTCGTGCACGGTGGTACTTTTCGCTCGGCGTCCCTCGGACGGCCTGTGCCTTCAGGAAGGACGCTCCACTTCGACATTTCTACTACATGCGCAACGGTGTGATGAGAGATTCGCCAAACGTTTCCATTGCACGCAGGTTTTGGGATGAGAGATGGGTTGTGGACGTAGAAGCACCTCAGACAGGAGGGGGGTGGAGAGTACGTTGGTATCGGATGAGGTGAGTTGTCAGAGGTCCCGGTCAAGGTTGACATGACGCAGTGATTACAACGATGATCAGTTTCGCGGTGCGGGCCAATTGTCTGCAGGGGATTCCAGCCAGAGCCTCGAATTGAAACAGGTTCTGGAGTAGGAGCCAAAGGTAGAAGGCTTGGCTATTTTTTCAGGTATGGAGGAGAGGATTCGTGGTTTAGGTACGAGTGCTCCCTTCCCCCGCTGCTTGCACCCCCTTTTTCTTCAACGTGATTTTGAGATGCCATAGGTCAGATGAAAACTTGGAGGCGAAGTCCCAATCCTCTTCTGTATCATAGTCCTCCTTGACGGTTCCACAACCAAAATCTATCAACACAGCTCGAGACGGTGCCTCAACGGGAGAGATGACGATATTGTTCGCGTTGATATCGCTGTGGATGACTCCGATTCCAATAAACTTCGATGCCGCGTCCAGGAGAGGTTGAAAGACTGCTAGAGGGATGGAATTGACCTCGGCAAGTGTCAAACGCTCTAACGTTCGACCGGGTATGTGTTCCATGATCACCGCAAACGGCTCAACTGCGCGAGTCGCAAGAGGGAGAACAATCGACCCCGAGTCGAAAAGCTTTGGGACGACGGTCCCTTGGAAGCGCTCAAGCTGTCGCAAGCATTCGACCTCGCTCGTCCAGGACAATTGGAGGAGGCGATAGAAGTACTCCTCGTAGACCCAAGGCTCTACAGAGTCTTCATAGAGCAGTTCTGCGCCGAACTCGTCCAGCGCGTCCCCAGACTCGACCTTCTTCCGACGCTCTACCGCCGCTTTCGTCTCCGCTTCCAAAGACCAGTATCTAATCGGCCTCCGGGACTTCTGGGTGGGGGGTAGGCGATCGTCCAAGTATCGAGGATCGTATATCTTGAGGACGACATCCGGAGAGAGCCTCTGACTCTCCGCTTCTGCCTTTGGACGAACGAGATAGACTTGGGACTTGGTGAACGGAAGGAAGGGTTGGATGATCTCGAACTCGATTGTTTGGTTCGACACTGTTCGTAACGTAACGATTGAGCCAGTTGGGAGAGGGTCACCTAGAATTGAGGAAACTCGGCATTCAAGTTCTGGAGACATTCCGATGAGACTGGTGCTTTGGGAAAGTGCGAGGAAATTACATAATGAGGGAGATTTCGAGACAAGAAGACCGCGAACGTCAAGTTTACAACTAATTGATCCATTGCGGAAGATGCCGAATACAGGGGCGTTCCGACTTTGTGGCACGCACTATTACGCAGCGCTCCTGAAAATTTGAAGCCCTAAGAGTGCTCTCGTCGGCACTTGGCTATGTCGGAATACTAGTGGCAAACGTATTCCCTCATTAAGCCAGAGATTTTTTGTACTGCACTTCGACAGAGCTTCGTGATGAAAAACAATGTCAATGCCTTCACTTCGGAAGCATTGTTCTGTATGTTTTCCTGATTCTTGGAAATTTCTAGCTCAATTTTAAGAGTGAGAAACATTGTAGTAGATCCTAGAAAAATATGAGAGTATTCTTGAGAACCTTGTTGTCAACTGGTACCAAGTCATGCATTAAGATTATCATTTGCAGTACGCTACCACGGTGATAATTCGCATTTTCAAGGAGTATTGAGTCTGCTATCCCGCCCTGTCGAGGTGATATCAGAGTTGCATTGCCAGAGTCAAATGCATCGGACATCCCCGTCGGGCGTCTATCTCCGTGCACTATTTTTAAATTGTCCTATTAATAACAACGATCCTGATTTGTCGCGCTGCGGGAACCAGTGACGTTGACAAAAGATGGACATCGGAATTCAGCATGGATCGCATAGCGTTGAGTGCGCGTCATACAGTGAGAGTCTTTTCCAGTTAGCCAGGCAGGGAACAGCATTGGAACGGTACACTTCAGAATACAATCAATTTGACTCGCCGAGGGTAAGGCGCTAATGAGATTTTAGTTGTTCAAGACCTCAGGGGCCGTGCGTTTTGCGAGAAGAAAGGGCTGCAGTATCAATCTATGTAATTACTAATTACCTCTAATTGAAGCTGGTACTAAGACTCGCTATTGCTTGTGACTTCTCATAAGTTTCCCTCAGTAGTCTGAGAACAAGAGAGAATATGAAGCCAGCTGTTGCCATTCACAATGAATTTGCAGAACCAGCCCGGCGGACCACCGTGATACCACTCTGTTATGCGGAGTGAGAAACGCTCTTGTATGTATTATGTTGGCGATTGTCAACCGATCGATGGCCGCACCGACTGTCACATATTCGAAAAAACCTGCAGCACTAGTCTCGATTTGAGTCGTTAGATATGAAAATACAGTCAACGCATTGAACCTTATCGTAATCGCGTGTGTATGTTATCTTTTTTCTATCCAAAGCTTCACACGTCTCCGTGAAACTGCGATTGGGTCATTGAAACTTTTTCACGGAGGTGCATGATGGCCTTTCACTGGGTGCACAGCACCATATTCGGAGATCGAATTTTGTAACAATACGGTAAAAATAGTCCCAGTATTTCTACCGTACTAGGGGAAAAAATACATAAAGAATACGGTGGCGTATTTTTATCATACTTTTTGAAAGGAATACGGTACAAAGACAGTAACAAAGATCATTGTATATTTTTATCGAAATCTGGTTAGCGAATATGGTAACAATATGGTGCCAGTATATTTGGGCTCAGAATACAGTAAGAATATGATGAAAATATCCTGCCTTACATTCTGCCTGTGTCAAGGCAGCCAAGGGTGGC